GGGAAGAGGGAGGTGGTGAAGGAGAAGAGGGAGAGAGGGAGAGGGAGAGAGAGAGAGAGAGAGAGAGAGAGAGAGAGAGAGAGAGAGAGAGAGAGAGAGAGAGATGGGGAGACAGACACAACACACAGAGGCAAAAGACAGACATAGACAGCGGACAGACAGGCGGAGTCAGAGAGAGAGGGGGGCGCACTGTATCGATTGACAATTTTTCCACACATAATGGGCGTGGTCATCACAGCTCCACGTACTGCTGTTGCTGTTGTAGAACAAAAACAACTCGTGTCCGCGACGTCCCTTTTGCTCGCTATGAAGTTTAAGCTTCTCGAGCCTGGACACGGGTGTGTCTGTGTATGTGTGCGTCCCATCTACTCTGGCGCCGGTTTACAGGCCGCGGCGTATTCCGTGGGTTGCATAAGATATCATACCCCCTGGGCCGATTTTCAAAGTTCGACTTGTCTCCCAAAAACCCAAAAAATAATTAATTAAACAAACAAACACCCCTATATAAAATGTACTCCCCAAACCCAAAAACAATTAATCAATTAAATCAAACACCCCCATATTTTGATTATCTTTCTCGACAGGAAAAGCAGTGACGGCGCCGAAAATGGCGGCATTGGAACCGTCTCGTCGAGAGAGCTTTCCGAAGACATATCGTCTGAACTAAGCATCGAAAATGGGTCCCGGGGGTGTGGTATCTTACATCATGCAACCTACGGTATACCTGACGCGTCAGTCGGGGTCACACAAGAGGAAGGGCCACACAGGAGAACTCGCTATATCATGCCTAATGCTAGCAATGCCAGCACACGCTTCTTCACACAAAATTCCAATGAACCAACATTCACGGACCAGCGTCTGCAAACGCAAGACCAAAACAGGAGAGAGAAAAGACGCAGCGTGGGCCGGAGATAATACAAGTAATCGTTTTCTGGGGTCCTCCTAATCTCCACGTGGAACTAAGTTGTGACGGCGGGAAGGTGGGGGTAGATACGTGTAGAAATGCACCGTCAACGTCAACACAACAACAGCAGCAGGGACAACGACAACAACCAAACACACAAGCTGCAGCAGCAACAGCAGCAACAGCAACAGTCCTTACCCTTACCCCCACCCTTACCCTTACCTGTATATCGGTGATAGGGTTGGTGGTGCCCCTCTTGTAGCAGAGAAATGATCGTTCTCCGTTCGTCCCAGCGTTGAGGTCGACTGGCGTGCCTCGCCGTCGGACCTGAGAGAAAAGAGCCACAAAACAAAACACGAAACGCACACGTGCATTCTTGTTACTTTTCATCTCCACCAACTTTTCATCCCCCACAGAGGCGTGTAGCTGTTGCTCGAGGCGCCAAGACGCTCAGGGCATGACGGTGCTGGCGAGCAACAAGCAACAAGCGACGGCAACCAATAACAACAACAACAGCAGCGATGGTGATAATGACACCACCACCACAGCCGACAACATTAACGACCATAGTCCATCACCACTCCAGTACACGCAAGACAGAAATCAAAGCGGATACCACACCTACATACCTTCTGGAACATGGGGGGAACGGTCTCCCCTCGGTCCGGAAAAATCAGCGCCAGCGCAACCACCGCGGGGACTCCCACCATCCTGCCCCCCCCCGGATGAGACACGTCATCCCCTCCCGCCTGGTCCACAAGAGGTGTATCCCGCTTCACCTAAGGGTCCATCAAAGGCGAAGGGGGGTTTGGGGGGCCGGCGGTTAGAACGAGAGGGGGGTGGGGGTGGGTGGGGGGGGCGGTAAACCCAGCCTGAAGACCGGATGCGCTGGGGAAAAACGCGGCCGATACATTTGATGTTGATGCTTCAGCTAGCGGGGTGGAGGTGGACATTCTTTAGTTGCGCATCAGGCAACAACGAGAGCTGAAGCCGCACACACACGTTCCCGCCTTAGCTAACCCACCACATGCACCCCACCGCGAAAAAAATTGACGTCCTGTCTGCGTGCCCCCGTGTGCAGGTCCGATCAACCGATCGACAAAACCACTGCCAGTCTACTGGTCGATGCAATACAGAACGCGCCCGCACGTAAGAACCCAGGAGTACAGAAATTGAGCCTAAGAAACTAAAGAATAAAGAACTTGAGCACCACATGTGAGCGCGGTCAAGAACCCCTACTCTAGAACCTATATAGCGACCATTCGAAGCATGACCCTAGGAAACCATTAAGAACCCCGCCCTCGGGCGAAACTGCATGAGAGCGGGCGCGTTCTCTAGCTATCGATCGATCCATGTCCAAGTTTTTCATTGGAACTACAACATGACATCCTGCTGGCATCCCCAAAAACCAATCGAGAAAAAACCACAGGTATCCATCTGACACGCAAGTAAAGTAGCCTATCGCATACCACTGATGCTTGTCGATAGGCCACAACCCGCCTTGCCTATCGACATTCCCATACAGTGATGGTCCTGGTATAATGCCAGTGCGATCCAGCCGATTTCACCGGCATTATTCAGAGAATGAAGCAACTTGAACATTTTATCTGTGCCACACTATTTCACCAGCATTATACCGGGCGACCGGCATTTATTCGATCGGCATTATTCCGGGACCACTGCTTACGTGCTTACGCCATTCAATACCGGTAACCCAACATACCACACCCCCTGTAGCGACTTTCAAAGCTCGATCCCTCCTCCACAGCACAAGGAGCCCTAGCGTCGAAGTTGGTGACGTCTCGCCGACAGCTTCCCGAAAACGCAATATATCGTTTCATTTATGCGCCCTCTCCGTCGTGGAGGAATCGAGCTTTGGAAATCGGTCCTGGGGGTGGCGAGCCCTTGCGTCACCTACGGTACGATGACGCCCTATCTACCGCCCGTGGTGTGGTACCACAACACTCACCGCGAGATAGACGTACTGTCCGCGTGCCCCCGTGTTCAGGTCCGCTCGCTTACCCCCGGACGATCGCTCCAGCTTCGAGTACCCGGGGAGCACGGGGTCCGACCCGTGGACCACGATAACGTCCACGATGTTACCCCTCCCCGCCACCGGCGGCGCCGCAGTCGCCGCCGCCGCCGCAGTCGCCGCCGCCGCCGCCTCCGGCTCCCCCCTCGCCGTCAGGCTGAACGACCGCTTCCTAACGCTGTTCGGCAGCGATGTGGTCTCCGTTGTTGCTCGGGCGCGCAACCCGACGCCGCCGCTGCCCCTCGTACCCCCCCCCCCCCCCGTCAGCGGCAACGCCCGGTGCCCCATGTCGCCGCCGATGCTACCCAAGTCGACCACCTTCCCGGCCGTCCCTCCCGCGGGACCAGCGCCGGAGAGGGTGGAGCTTGTCGGCACCGACCAACCCGGGAAAAAAGAAGCGCCTTCTTCTTCGCCGGCACCGCCGCCGTTGGGCACCGGAGAATGATCGCCGTTGGTATCCAGGCCACCGCCACTGCTAGAAGCGTTTCCTGCTGCTGCTGCTGCTGCTGCTACGGCAGCGGTGGCGGCGTCGTCCTGTCGGTAAGAGGGGGAGGGCTTGACGAGGGAGCTAGAGGATACGTCTGTGGAGCTGGTGCTGTTGCCAGTTCTGTGCTGCCCGGCGTTGCTCTCCGCGCCTCGAGCCGCGGACGCCGCCGCAGCCGATTCCGCCGCTGCATCTGCTTTGCTTGATCGCAGATTCTAAATTTTCGTTCACGTGGTCAAACACAGACAATTTTACAACGGGGGGGATTATCTACTACAAATGTTAAAGTCAGCGGGGGGGGAAGAGACAGGGATGGATGGATGGATGGATGGATGGATAGGAGGACGTGGTAGCGGTCAGGAGAACGGACGAGACCAAAAATACAGCACGTGGAGAGCCCCGTCCTTGCCTCGCAACCGACAAGGCGCCAAGGATAGAGGGGTAACGTTCGGATCGCCATCACAAAGGGCACAGTCTCCGCGTTCACCAAGGACGATTGGTTCCCTCTTTCGTGCGGTGACCCATCCCACCGGAACACGCCACAGCGTTACTCGAAGCACAAACTAACGCACCCCGCCGGGACTTGTACTTTGTGCACCTTGAGCGTGAACCTCTTCCGAATCTTCATCTTCCCGCCGCCGCTGCCGCCGCCGCCGCCGGTCCCCTTCTGGGCCGAGCCGCCGCCGTCACCGCCACCACCGCCACCCTCCTCATCCCATCTCCCGGCCATCGAGATCGACAGGGACACCGACCGTGCGACCTGGGCATCCATGGCTTCGTCCCCACCGCCGCCGCCGCCGGCCGCGGCCGCCGCCGCCCTCCACGGCATCGTCGACGACTTCGGCGACGTTGAGTCGACCCTGGGGGCTCCGAGGGTTGCCTGCCGATCATCCCCCCCATCCTGAAACATCTGCCGCCGTGCATATTGTACCCCGGGATGAGCGATGAGGGATGAGGGGAGGGAGGGAGGGGGGGGGGGACGCAGACGCGACTTTTAGCACTGGACCCCTCACGGGAGATATTTCCTATGTTCTTCCTCTAAAGTAACGGTTCCTGGGTCATGTTGGTTTGTTTGGGCGCGGTCGCCGTTAAAAATTAACAGTAGTAAAACACAGCAGTCTATAGTTACCTCGCACAAGCGTGCAGCGGCTAGGGTTAGACTATCTGTCGTTATTTCTATTGACTTGCGGACCCTTTGCGTCCATTAACATTCTTAGTGGTACTCTTTTTGGGGTAAGTTAGCCTGTGACCACGGGTACCGACCGCGTCAAGCGCTAGACGAGCACGGACAGAACAAGGTACAGTACCGGGTAGAGAGATCGGAATAATGCGAATGCAACAACAACAAAACACAACAAAACACACACGAGGGAGCACATACACACAGACACCAACGCTCACCGAGTCTTGAAAGTTGTCGATGGCGCTGCCACCGCCGCCCGCGACCCGACCGAGGGAAGATTCGCCGGGGCCCCCGCTTTGCCTTTGCGCGGCTGCTCCTCCCCCCCCGCCACCATTGGTTGGAGCTGAGCCTGACTCCACCGACGAAAAGAGGTCCTGAAAAAGTGAAAAAAAAGAAAAAAAAAAAAAAGAAGGGGAAGCGATGTGAGAAATTGTGGCGTACACTGCTGTAAGGGTAAGGTGTATCCTCCCCCTGCACCATAAACAAAAAACACGCGTATGTAATAAATACTTCACACGTTTAAAATTTTGTGCAGCAACTGCTCCAAGTCTTCGTGTGAACCCGATGCCTGCCGGTTTCGTGTTTTTCGCCGCCCCGGGCACGAAGACAGATGAACGCTACTACAAGTCGTGGTCCCGATTTAGCGATTCCTTCCCTGTTTAGCGGGATGCCCTGAATAGCGGCTCAAAAACCTGGTGGCACCGCTACACCTCGGTAGTCAAAATAAAACCTATGATGTACATGGCTGCCAATCCGGTTTAGCGGCGATGGCCCTCAATATGTACTGCCTAAACCTGAAAAATAATTAATAAAAATATACACACCCATATCACAATACACGTCTCCCCCAAACCAAAAACATTCCCCAAACCAAAAACAATTAATTAATTAAATAAACACAGCCCATAACAAAATTGATGTACTGCCTAAACCAGGAAAATAAAACTACCCCAACACACCCAATGCGTATCGCTTCCCACCAAACCAAACACAAATTTATATTGTCGTCCCTTGTCGCAAAAGTCTGCTATCGGTTATAACATTTTGTGACACTATGGGCCGCTAAACCGGGACCACGACTACTGCTGTACCTCCCCAAAACACACCCACCATGCCCCCACGCGTTGGGGTCAGAGCCAGGGGTTGTTCGGGGGATAAGCGTGGTTGGTCGAAACAAATTGCTGGAATGGAAACCAGCGGCGGGGGGGTTGCATCAGAACAAAACAAAACTATCAAGAGCGTGCACGCTTTGCAGGTGCACGGTTACCGTGGGTGAAACAAGACCTCACACACACCCACACCTTGGAGCGGTATGCAAACGCTCGCTTATTTCCACCGCTACCGACAAGAGTAGCGGTGCCAAAAGTAGAGGTGTTGACGCGGCCTGGGGAAGATCTTTCCGAAAACGTATGGTTCGACATATACACCCCTCTTTCGGCGCGGAGAAGACGAGCTTTGAAGATCGGCACAGGGGGGGTGATATCTTCCGTCATGTCATGTCACCTACGGTATCTCTATCGTACCCGTGCAGGCAACCATACGCCGCCCCGGCTGCGTGACGGATCGGCGCCAACTTAAAGCGCTAGAACGGTTGCACTGACTATCACCATCTCCACAATAACAGCAACCGTCCTACAACGGCACCAGGCCGCTGCGTTACGGCTCGGCGCTGATGTACAGCGCTAGCTAAAACGCTTGCGCTGAATATCACCACCTCAATAACGCCAGCAACTAATACAAAACGGCGCCAGCCAGCGGCAGGAACACCGCGTTGCCGGGGATGCGTCCTCGCAACAACAAAAAAAAACAAAACAGAAAACCTAAAGGTCCTAATATCAAGAGACAGGTTGGACGACGAACACAACCACCACTGCTGCTGTCACGGAAATGACAACAAATCATACGGCAAGAACACTCAACCAAGCAGAAACGACATCCAACACATCCCGCTCTCTTGTTGCTTCGAAGAACACACATCAGGACACGTGGGTACGTGCCTGTACCGGCGTGCGGTACATGCGCATGAGAACAAAAACTCGCGGCCGTGTATCGTGTGCCGATTATGTAACAGCCGCGAGTCGGAACAATACCAAAACACGACTTACACACCACCAACATCGTAGCAATGTAGGGGCATGAACGTCGCCCGATCCAAAGACGCCACTGACGACGATGATGATAATGATAGAAACAGCCAAGGGCAGCAGAAAAACTACTTCCGCCCAACCCCGGGCCGGAGGGAAAAACGCGCTGCTTGTTCCCAAAGAGTGAGAGGTTGCAACACTCCCGAGATCTTTCGAATATTGTGTTGGTTTACCGCGTTGTATTTTCGCTCGTGCCGGCGCGGGCGTTGTTGGCGGCAGGGACGGCCGACGCTGGCCTCAACAAAGCTGTGGGGCAATCGTACTGCCCGCTCTTAATGCCGGTCCACGAAACACCTACCACCAACACAACAAACCGCATGTAAACTCTGCCTTCAGAAACCCTCAGAACGCTTTTTCGGCAACTTCCATCAACAGCAACAACAACAACAACAACAACAACAACAACAACAGCAACAACAACAACAACAACAACAACAACAACAACAACAACAACAACAACAACAACAACAACAACAACAACACAACAACACCACCCAAACCGCATACCCTGCCTTTCCGCTACGGCAACAACGTCCCTCACCGTCGTCAAGGCTTGCAGCTCTCGCCGGAAGGAGCCGGTGGTCTTGGAAAGCACCCCCAAGATACTCTTGTCCGCCTCGTCTTCTCGACGCGACGACATCGGTCGCGACGATCCTCCTCTTGCTTCCTCCTCGCCGCCACCTTGATACGTCGCCGTCGCCTCCGGAGACGGAGAACAAGACGAGGCTAACGCCTGCTTCGGCAACCGCACAGTTTTCAAGAACAAGGATCAACGAAGAAGGCTATTCTTACAGGCGGACAGACATGTGTTCTTGTTGGGGGAGAGAGGAGAAGAAGAAGAAGGAGAAAGTCATTCTTCACCCGTGGCAGCGAAGGGGCACAAAGTGAAGCAAAAGGGAGACAAAAAAAAAGGTTCTTGTCTGTGGACAGGGATTGGATGGATTCGATGTGATTTGTTCAAGAAAAAAATACCCACCCACAGTTACGCTCCGAAGCAAAAGGGTCAATGAAGGTAGCGGTAGCTTGGCGAGACATTTTTTTCACTGACATCTTCACCCCAACAAACCGCAGCAAACCGGATCCTCTCCCATAGCTAGACAGGCTAATATTGGATGCCCCAAACTGACGACCCGCTGCTGCTGCTGTGATCCGATCGTCGCAAGGCAGCAAACAGTAGGCCAATCAGCAGCGTCGATCGAGCTGCTTATGTAGCGTTGCACTTCGTGAGCTGTCTCTCTCTCTAAAATCAACGCTTGCGTCTTTCATCTGGATGTGCATACATGCACAGTGTAGGTCGGCGTGGACTGACTGCTGTTGACGCCATCCTCAACCCGCGAGCAAACAATATTTATTTTCTTATTGTTGTCGAGATTGAGAAGAACACCGGCATACTTGCCGGGAACCAAACCTTTGTTTAGTTCTGCATGCATCCCTCCTTTCCTTCCGTCGGTGTTTTTGTTAGCCTAGAACGTCAAGACAAAACACCACCAACAACAACAACAACCTTGGGGGGAAAAATGGTCGCATCCCGAGATTGCCATACCACCAAAATTGCCATTGATGACGGGTACGCCCCAAGCCCTAAGGCTCAACTGCTGGAAAGTGCTCCAACCTCCGCACTGAGTGACCATTGCAAGCTCTCTCTCTCTCTCTCTCTCTCTCTCTCTCTCTCTCTCTCTTGTCTCAAGGCATCGCCGCCGCTCAAGCGCAAGCAGGCAGCCGAAGCCACAATGAACAGGAGTAGCGAAGCCGGGTCTGACGCTAAATAGGAGTAGACGACTCCGCTTCTTTGACCTAAAAAAAATCCCGCCAATCTTCTGCATGCACTATCTAGACCGCCCTGGGAACTGTGTTTATTTTACTGATCATAGCCTGTGACCAAGGGAATCGACCCCGTCAAGTGTTAGACTATTAGTACGGACAGAAGAAGGTAGTGGGCAGAGAGAACGGAACGGTTTTTCATGTGAAGACAACAGCAACAACTCTACATGTACATCAGCGTTTCTGGCTGGTATCCAATCCGCGGTCATATGTTCACACACATGGGTTCCTCTCCCTATCGCCTCCCGCTGTCTCTCACATCTGCCACACTCCGGTACACTGAATGAATGGCCGTCAGCGTGTTCCTCTTGGTAATCACGCTATGATTACCACCTGGTATGTACTACAAATAACCTCACCCTCATGAAGGACGGGGGGGGGGGCATGCGATAGCCCAGCATCGTACGTACGTATGCAGAAAGGAAACAAGCATACAGTACAACAAATTGATGGGTGCCTTCGTGTGTGTATGTTGGTGTGCGCCTAGAGATGTTGTCGGGACGCACAGCCGCTGGGGTTTATTTTTCTCTTGATTTCTTGGGTGAGTCTACCTTTCGGGTAATCGGCCTGTTGCCACGGAAGGCGTTGCCCGCTTCGGTCTAACCGGTACGGGCATTTACAACGGTTTAGAACGTAATACAACAACAACAGCAACAGCAATACCAACCGCCACATCAACACTGGTTTCAAAATGCGGAAACATGTCCATGTATGCATACATCCGTACACGACAAAACAACCATTAGTCCCCGGGGGGGGGGGGGGGGGGGGGGGGGGGGGGGGCCCCTTTCCTTTTCCCCCCCCCCCCCCCCCTTTTTTTTTCCCAACCCCCCTTTCAAAAAAAAAAAAAAAAAAAAAAATCCAAAAATTTTCCCCCCCCCCCAAAAAAAAAAAAAAAAAAAAAAAAATTTTTTTTTTTGAAACCCCCCCTTTTAAACCCTCCAAAACCCTAAAAAAGGGAAAATTAACAAAAAATTCCCCAAAAAACCTTTTTAAAACAAACCTTTTAAAAAAAACCTTTTTCTTTTTAAAAAAAAAAAAAAATTCCCCCCATCTTTTTTTCCCCCCCCCCCTCCAAAAACCCCCCCCCCCCTTATTTAAAAAAAAACTTCTCCCCAAGGCCCCCAAAATTTTTTTTTTTTTTCACCCCCCCCCCCCCCCCGCCGCCCCCGTTTTTTTCTCTTAAAGGGGTGGCTTTTTTTTTTTTCTTTTTCCCCCCCCCCCAAAAAA